CACGTTTATTGAAACCTCGCATAAATCAAGAAATAAGTACGTGTACAAAGTGTACGAAAGCATTCCTTTATTTGACCTTATCATACGATCACAAAAACAACTTTTTAAAATCTTTTTTGGGGTGGTCCTCGGTTAAGTGCCCACCCCCAATTTTTCCTGATTTTGTATGTTCAGGCCCCTGGGCGCGTGCCCGGGGTAATACGGTACCAAGTTTCATTGAAATGTAACAGACCATCTAGGTACCACGTTTTATTAAAATGTGATTGGAATAAAAAAAAATTATAAATTATTATGCTAATTAGGGAATTAATATGAACAGATTTTAACCCCAAGCTAATCAGGTTTGTACATTGTCCTAGAGCATCTTTGTACTAAGTTTCATTGAAATGGAATAATTTAGATATCAGCTTGAAATTGGTTAATTATGCAAATTAGATAATTAATATGTACAGATTTTAACCCACAATTAATCAGGTCTGTCTACTGTCCTACAGCATCCATGTACAAAGTTTCATTGAAATGTGATGATTAGTACTTGAGAAATCTGTATTGAAGCTGAAAATTAATTAATTATACAAATTAGGTAATTAATATGAACAATTATTTACCCTAAAACTAATCAAGTCTCTGGATAGTTCTAAAAGATCTATGTACCAAGTTTCATTGAAATGTGATGATTAGTACTTGAGATATCTGTGGAAAAGCTGAAAAATAACTAATTATGCAAATTAGGTGATTAATATGTACAAATATTTATCCAAAAACAATCAATCACTGCATAGTCCTTGAGTATCTATGTACCAAGTTTCATTGAAATGAAATTGATTGATTGATTATTATGCAAATTAGGTAATTAGTAATTAGGTAATTTTTACCAAAAACTAATCAAAACTAGCATTAATTCAGAGCATCTATGTACTAAGTTTCATCAAAATCCAATGAGTGGTTGTTTAGATATCAATGGAACAGTCATGGAACAGCTAAAAATTAGCTTATTATCATGCAAATTAGGTAATTAATATGCATGGGATTTTACCAAAACCTAATCAAATCTGCGGGAGTCAAAAATATTCATCAAAATTAGAGAATTGAAGATATTGTCACAAAATCAACAAATCTGACAGAGGTCCACCTGATATACCTACATATACAATATCAAAGAAATTGGACAAGCAGTTTTCTAGAAGTC